TTAAACTTTGCGAACCATTTTTGTGCAGTAGACACACCTAAGACACCTTCCCCGTACACATTGCATGTCCCGAGCGGCTTCGGCTGCTTTTTGACCTCGATGAAAAGCAAGGAAAAGCAGATGTCGAAAATGCTTATTTTTTCCTCCTGATATTCCATTTCTGAGTCAGTAACAAGATGAACAATTAAATGATCCGAGAAAGTTAAGAAAGAAGAAAGAAGCATTTTTGTAGAGAAGAAAGAACTCTTTCGAATGAATGTATAGACTATGCTAAAAAAAAACAAAACAAGTCGTTGTGAAACAACGCTAACCCAAAACTCTACGAACTCACGTTACAACCTAATACACCAACCGAACACCTACATACATCTACATACACATATATACATATATACACTCTTACACGCATACATACGATACACGCATCACACCACACTTACACATACAGCATACACACAAAAATTGCCAATAGATTGATTGTTTGTGCAAACCTTGATAGAATATTGAATGCAGAAGTTGCAATTTATACTCGATAAATTGAAAAATTAAGTTGAACCTATAGGCATTACCTTTTTTCCCTTTCGCGAGAAGCACTAAGTGAAATTCCATGTTGCCGTATTTGTAGAATTATGAAGTTCGTCAGAGTACAAAAGATATCATTATGTCTTTCTCCATTGAGTGAAAGACTCCTTATCAATTCGCTGATCAATTTTCCTTAGAAAATATATAAGTTTTTATCTTGTACCACGAACATTAAAGGAATGTTAGAGCAACTCTCGGATGTGTTATCGGTTTTCAATAATGTGACGGTCTTTCTTTGAATACCTTTTTCCTTATTGTAACTGAGGGATGTAGATTTTACGGAAATAGTAAGTCCCAGTTGTAGCTGATCCAATAGGCTATAACCACCTGCTGTTTGAAATGATCCATAGACGCAGATCAGAGGCAAGTGCCAAAGAGCTAGAGGGTCCTGGAAGAGTGACTGTCGAATTCCTTCTCATGCTCTCTCATGATTCATCGAATTCGGTTACAACCCATTCTTACAACCGCTGGGATAAAGATTACCTACCAATTGCTCAATTTTTTGTGACCCTGAAGCTTTTGAATCATTAGCGTTCTCCTTGAGGCTCTTGTGGTTCTCTAATGGCGAGATATGTGGTAACCTGGGTGGTAATGGTAGATGGCAGAACGAATTCGCTTCAAAACAGTTTATTGGCAACAGAGTAAAAGTGCTGGTTCAGTTCCAATGACAAAGATGTGGAAATATTCTTCGAAAACATTTCGGATAGAGGGGATCAAGTGGTGACGTTTTATGTTGCTGTACTGGTAGGAGTACAAAGCTTGTCTGAATCACAGTAATCGGTGGTTGGGCAAGCAGAACACGGCGTGCCTTTCTCGTAGATGTGTTGGTTTAGCTTATTACCCCTAAAAAAGTAATCCTTACTCTTGCTTGAACCGACCAGTTTTCTTCGATCATTATGTAATCATCTACTGGTCACTTTACTGGTAAGCAGATTGAATGCTCGTCAGAATAATGTGAGAAATCCGAGAGACTGCAAGTGAACTCGCCCAGGTTGATAGTGACACACAGCAGACCACTGGCTACCTCCACATGGAACGACAGCACAACCGAAATATTGAGTAGTTGCCCAGGCCATCTGGAGAAACAGTCGTTTTCGACATATAGACAGGGATCTTATCGAGTCTGAAGAATTATGGCGAAAATAGAAAAGAACAATACCCTGGTGAACCAGGAGGTCGGCTTGCCCACGTTAAATGCAGTATATGTGACTCCTTGGCCAATACCGCCGGTTACCCTTATTTGGCTCCACCAACGTTTTATAGCCTGGACATGCATTGGACCTTCGAGAAACGATGTGGATTTTTGAATGGACAAGCTCAGCTTACCACTATGATTGCATCTTGGCGGTATTGAGCTTCACTTTGTGGCATCAAATAGATGTTCTCCTGCACGTCACGGGGTAGTAGCGGCCAGGATTCTCCAGAACACCTGGCCGCAGAAGTAATAGCACTCATCTCCAAGCTGCAGTTGTAGAGCTGCAAATAACTGAGCTAACCCGGAGGTCTTTTCAAAGCTGTACTTCTTGGAACGGAGATGGATGTTGCTCCTTGGTAAGCAGAACACTTCTTTGTTTGTTAGTTTGTTTGTTTGTAACGTATTTATTTATGGACTAGGAAGTACGCAGGAAGGCCCAACGAAGGGGAGAAGCATAATTTTCGCAAATCTTGCACACCTTGTTCGTTACTTACGTCGGGCACTCAATTTTGCCTTTTCGGCGATGTCATAAAATGATGAAGAGTCCCTTGTATCAAAATCTTTGGATTTCTTGTCCCTTTGACGACTATGGTACCCACCGGTGAGTGCCGCAATGGGGACAATTGCATGCAATGTGGAGCGTCACAATGATTTTTTGTTTCTTTGCACGTTTGAGGCTTATTCAGAATTCCGATATTCTTTGAAACCTATATTCAACTTACTTAGTCCACATAATTGTTCTATGGAAGCCTATTTATTGACGTATGCTGCCAGCGGGGTGCCACTGTGAAACCTAGGTATAATCTGTGTACGTATTGAGGCATTACAGACAGTAAAAGCTCTAATTTGAGATCATGTGACAACCTTTTCGACCACTGTTACAGCATAGCACTCGCAAAGTATAAATTGATCCTCAAGACTTCGAAAGTTACACGAATTCCTACTGCAAACATTATTTCCGGAATTCTATCCTACATTGCTCCCAAACCCGAGCTTCATTTCTATTTAAGCCCCAGTCATATGTGATGGATGGAATAAGAACTGGATACTTCTACCATAGGGAGATGTTGCTGAATTCAGCAAATCAATGAAAGGACTTTCTCCTGGGACAATGGCCTTCACCGGTGCGTACCAATCGCGGACAAAAAAATGGCTCGTTGTCCATGGGCATGCCACGTTGAAATGCGTATTGTCGTAAGAGGGTTAACCCATACCGTGTGCTGTACATGGTGCAGCACTCCCTTTTCTCTGAGTGCCTGCGTTTCAGTCCAAAATCACGAACGAGCAGCACATACTTTGCGATTCGCTCATAAAACCGCTCTGCGCTGCCGCGTGTAACGTCGCGCAGAATGCGCCGAGCGCACGCGTCAGCCAGCGCAAAATCACTACGGTACGCAACGGGTTAATGCATAGTGCACCTCTTCAAAGTATGACCTTAGATATAAAACCACAATACCAGTCTCAGCATGTTCTTTGCCGAAGGCAAATTTCTTTTATTTTTGTTTTCGACCAGACCTTGTGCAAGCCGTGATCTGAAACATAAAATGTGTGTGTAAAATTGTGGGAATGAGAAGTGGCTATAATTTTGCCGACAAGAACTAGAAAACCGATCATTACCTGCGATAATTGTGCGCTACTATCGCTTTACTCCTTATCTTGTCATTCATTTGCTGGTTATGCGGGCAGATTCTATTGTCTGAAAAACTAGGTGAAAAAAAGCAGTGGATTTGAGGTTCACCGCAAAATATATATAGCTGAGTGAATGGGTGAAAAATGCGCTGAATAAAGAACGAACTAGGGTCCACGGTGAAGTACGTCGATGTTGTCTCTGTGCTTGTCGTTGTACTGCTGCTGCCTGTGCTTGTTGTTGGAGTACTCGTGGTTTTTTCTGAAGTGTCTGTATGTATAATAATTGGCTTTCGATTCGAAGCATAGCAGGCTTGAGTGACTTTCTGTGTGGCAGACTATGAAACTCAGAACGCAGGGCGCACAAGTATGAAAACAACCTCCCCACAGCGCTTGTTCTTCTTCTTTCGCAGACTTTTCACAGTCCTTCTTTCTTTTGTTTATGCGCATCCATGTCTTCTTTGTTACGATGAAATCGTCACCTTTCGTGTCATGGTGAAATTGATGGCTTTTTGAGCGGATATCGTGAATTAATTCCGATATCGTCACGTTTCAACCATGTGAGGTAGAGTGCTAATAGCTTGAGATTAGAGGGAAGGTATGCTCAAACTGTAAGCATGTGGGAAATATGACTGCTTAAAATATTGACCGGAGCTCATAGTGCTGGAAGCCGTACTTGTCTCCTTACTATCCATTGTGCTGCTGCTCATGTTTCCTTTCATCATGGGGCTCGAGTTCAATCCTAAACCAACAGATGAGATGGTGCTATCGAGTTTAGAATTGACTCAAAGCAAGCTCGATTGGTGAGTCATATGGATACATTAGTTAGCGGTAATTCCTCATGACACAGAACAGGATTGGCAGAAGATTAGATGAAGGACTGCCATGCGAGCAAGCAGGGTTTCGGAGAGGGTT